CTCAGACTTTCTTATCTTCTTTAAAAGATGGCCTCGACTTTGATTTTAACCTGCTTTTACCCAGTCAGTGTGGTTCTGGTTACAGCTCTGCTAGTTAAGCGATTGGCAGCATGATAATGTCGTATTTTCATGGAACCTTGTGGTTGACACAAGAGACACATCCAGGACATGGGGTATAGAGGGGGCCACAGAATGGAATGAAGCTCAGAGACCAGCACAGGCTATGGAGCCTCAGGCACTACCCAGTGGAGCTGTGTGCAATGATTTCTTGGAACAAAACTCTTCAGGGATAGTAGAACTAGTCATGGAAATGTGGTAAGCATTGTTTTGTTCAGCAAAAAAAAAAAAAAAACAACAGTAAGACAATCTGCACATGTCAATTATCCAATGAAAATCTCAAAAACGAATCATCTGGATGTTTCTAAAGACTCCCTTGCTTAACATTATGAAGACAGACTAAAACCTAGGATGATCGAGATCTGAGCTTGTGTGAAAAGTTTGAAGCATACACAAGTAACAGATTTGCCATTTGGGTTACAGTGTGGAAAAAATCTCTGGAAACAGATTTATGTATTAGTTTTTCGCTTTGCCACCAGATGTCCTTCATGAGTAGGAAAATATGATGGCCCGAATGATATTTTGAAGTGTGAATGCCCAGCATTTTTGAATAGTTGACAGTGAGAGGAAAGTGTGAGTGAATGTAATGTTACCACAGACTTTTGGATGAGACACGTATTTTGAAGGCTGCCTTACAGGTGTAGCTTTCAGAAGCAATATTTATTTAACTCTCAATTTTTCATTTCGCATACTCTGTAAACATTTACTTAACATATTTCCTTTTCACTCAACTCCAAATTGATATTTTTAAAATTTGAGCAAATTATTATATGTAGAAATTAATATTAAGAAATACTCCAATCCTTACATTCTTATTCTATATAAAATTGTAGTATTTTAAGTGGAGTTTCCCAAGGATTCAAGGCGACCAGACCCCAGGCTTCCCAAAACAAGAGCAGCAAAGCTTATGACACTTTTATGTTAAACTAATTCTAAAAGCAGCTACTTACATCCTCAGCAAAGTCAGTTGAAAGGGGCCAATATATGACTTAGTATAAAATCAAAGACTTCCATTGCAGTTTATTGCTAATATAATTCAAAGGAAAGTGTAGAGTATGGAATATTTAATATAAGTTAATAAACAGCATCTTTTAAAAATAGAAATTATTTGGCCATCTGTGTTATAAACATATAACAAATCCTCATAATATAAAAGGAACAAGGATGGCTGCTGTTTGAAAGAATTTGTTGTGTGAATTACCCCGTGCATTAATAAACACTTGGGGGCAGGATTCTCACCCTAGCCCCAGGATCACCAGAGGTATGGGACAAACCTGTGCTTTATGAGGGTTCCTCATTCCTTCACTAAGCGTGCGGGAGTGGAACAGGCCACCTATTTCCAGAAACTGAAGGCCATCTGCATGAAATGTCAGCCAAGTGACCAGATGTTTGATATGGATTGGCTCCCACATCCGGCTTCTTGACCGAATTCCTCTTCTTTCCACCCAGATGTTTTGGAGACACGTACAGAGAACTTAATGAAGGTTGTCCAGGCACGCAGACAAAGAGCCTGTAATATTTTGGTGTCCTGCAGGGGGCGAAGTTACCTCTGGTTTTCTCCAGTCTGTTCACAGGTCTCAGCTGACTCCAAAGCCAGACCCGCTCCTCTCCCTTCAGTCCATCCTGAATCACATCTGGATGTTGTCCAGCTGCCTGTCCTAAGACTTCTGGGGAGTACTGGGAAGGGGTCAGAGAAGCAGGGAGTGGGTGAAGTGGTAGTTAAGGGTTCTTATCCACCTGGGGTTCCTTGGAAAAGCAGTGGTCTCAATTTTGAGGTTATAAAAATTTTAGAACTGCACCTCTTTATCCCCTTTGACCCCATACCCAATCCAAGGGTGTTTCTGAATGTTTCCCAGCAAATATGTGCACTTGTAGGGAATGGTGGGGACACAAGGAGAACTCATCCTCTTTTGTGGCCCTCAGTTGAATGTCACTGTCCATATTATCACTGTCACATTTCATTTCACATATTTTCCTTCTGGCTCTTAAGAGAGTCGTGTGCTCTGGAGTTCATCATCTGGAGGCACACTTAGCACCCCCTTTTTCTAGCGCCATATGACAAGAACTGAGAGTCTATCTTGGTGGGTCTGGGCAGCCTATGGCAGACCTGAATAAGGGTTGCTGCTCAGATGTTTAATGGATAATGAATCACCAAGTGCCATTTTAGACCCAGACCATATAGGTCCATCTACCTCTAACCAAGTATCTAAGATAAGGGGAAGATGGTATGTGTGTGTGTGTGTTCTCCACTAGATCAAATATGCGTACACAACAGGTGCATATACAATAGATGGGTCATAGCTTTCTCTACTGCCCTTATAGGCTGGAGCTACTTTTACTCTGCTTGTGTCTCAGTAGAAGTCTTAAGAGGAAGGTGTGACTAGGTTTGAGAAAGGAAGAGGCCCTTGGCAGGAAGCCCACATATACTTGCTGAGATTTCAGATCTTCTGATCAGAGCTCTTAGCTTCAGTGATTTCATGCACTGCAATGATTTTATGCTCATAACAAGTCCCATACAGAAGAAAGAAGTGACAGAGGCTTTTGAATTCTAAAGGTCCTGGCACCCCAGACCAAGTAGTGATGTATTCTATTTTCAGATGAAAAGAATCCCTGGCCTGCAGTGTTCCTGAAGTTGTCTTGCCTGGGATCAACGGCTATGGGACATTTGTAGAATTAAAGACTGCCCTAAATGACCACTATGCCAAGACAGAACTAGAAAGAGCAATCCAGTGGATGGTGGGAGGTAAAGACTCTGACCCATGCAAAACAGATTCTTTGAAATAAGATAGAAATGTTTATAAGATCTGGATCAGCAGAAACCCTGTGAACTCATAAGTCTGTGAACCTCATGGTCTATGTCTATCTGGACTGGCTCACAGACGCCGTGGACCCCGCGAACTAAGACTGCCAGGTCAGCAAACTGCAGGTTGGTTTTCTAATCCACACACTTTTCACCAGGTAAAAGATCCTAATGTTTTAAGTGAATTTGCTTCCAGGATCCACAGATTACTGGGCATTCTTGGAGAGTCTAAGTGCAAATGAATTTGTGTCCTGCATGGCAGATGGTGTTGTTGTTGTTTGGGTAGAGGGGACAGTGTCCTTGAGAAGTGTGCCTGCTGTGAGACTGTAACATGTGTTTTACACGCTTGATCTTGTCTGAGGCTCACAGCCACCTGAGTTTCAGGGCCCTGTCTATTATTATCCGGAATGGGAACATGCCAAGCCCCTACTGTTACTGGAATTATCTATACCATCTCTCCTTAAGTTTTATTTATCTTGCTTCATATAAGCTCTATTGTATTTCAATATATTAAAATGCAACATTAACAGACAAGCTGGAGAAGCATTAAAACATTTCCAAGAAGGTAGGGGGTGGCTTTTCTATTATATTGTCTGATTACACCCTCTTTCTTTTGGGTGTTAGCTTAAGAAGCCAAGTCAGAACCTCAGTGAAGAGATAAGTCAAAATATTTGGCCCCAAACCCTTAGGACGCTGGCTCTGGCTTACATTTTGCCCTCTCTGTGGGTTTGTGAGCAGCTTCTCGGAGGGTGTGTCCCAACTTCCAGCAGCTGCCTTTGAAAGCCACGTGTCCGCTAAACGCCTATGTTACATCAATAAGAGAAACTGAGGAAGGAATGGGAAAACTATCATTTTTCTGTTCTTCCTCAATTAATTCAGGTGGCATTGATTTAATAGCTGATTTTACCTATATTTAGTTAGAGCATCAATTTAGGCCTTTTATGTGATTATGTGGGGTGTTGGTCAGGTCGTTCTTACTAGTGATGACCCCTTTACCTTTGCTACCTCGCAGCTCCTCGGGTGGCTCCAGGAATTCTCTGTACTTGAAACCTACGCGCGGCCGAGGCGACGCCTCCGGGGAGAGGGAGGGTGAAAGAAGGGGGCGGGCCTATTTAAATACAGGCGAGACGCGCCTCTCCATTGGCTGCCAGCCTGTCCGTTACCCAGGAGGGCGGGGAGTCCCGGGGGCTGCAGTGCTGTACCTGAGCGAGACGCGCACCAGAAAGCCCACGTTGGCCGCTGCGGGGAGCGCAGAGTAGAGAGGCGGGAGACTGCGAATTCCGGCGCCGACGCCGCGGCCACTGCTCCGTGCACCGGTCCCCTTCCCTCCCATCCCCTCTGCGAGCAGGGTTTGCAGGGCGGCCGGGCGAGCACTGAACGGAAAGCAAGATCCTTGCCGCCTCCGCTTGGGGAGTCGAGCGGAGAGCGGAGATTTTGAGGGGGAGCGACAGTGCCCGAGGGCGGAGGGGCGCGGAGTTTGTGAGCGAGAAGAAAGTTAACCCTCGCAGAGAAGATTGGCATCTCGGAACGCTTTGTCGCCACAGCCTGGGCCCTACGGCCGGTATAAACTAAACGGCGGCCGTGCGAGCCAAGGAAAGGCGTGCGCGGGATGATGCCGGGCATCCCCCCCAGCTGGTGAGCGGCCCCGCTTCCCTGCCATCCCGGGTCCCACTCAGCCGCCCGGGAGGGCGCGGGGCAGCGCACGTGCGCAGGCAGTGAGGCCCGTGGGTGACCGCGCCGTGACCCGCTCGGGGGCTAAGGCGCTGGCTGTAGCGCAGCCCAGACTCGGACGCACCTGGCCTGGACCTTGCGCCTCTAGAGACCTGCGCGGGAGTGTGGGGCTCCCCCGCCTCCCCTCCAAGGGGTTCTCCCGGTGATCGCCCCCTTCGTCTCCCCTCCAGCCTGGGCAATTAGGGGCGCCCCAGAGGACCATGAGAGATAAGGACTGAGGGCCAGGAAGGGGAAGCGAGCCCGCCGAGAGGTGGCGGGGGCTGTTCACGCCAAGGGCCACAGCGGCCGCGCCGGCCTCGCTCCGCCGCTCCACGCCTCCCGGGGCCCGCGGGGCCAGCCCGGTCTGGCGGGGATGCCGGGGCTGGCGCGGAGGGC